TGGTCTAACTGGGGTCTAACTGGTCCTACTGGGGTCTACCTGGTCCTGCTGGGGTCTAACTGGTCCTGCTGGGGTCTAACTGGGGTCTAACTGGTCCTACTGGGGTCTAACTGGTCCTACTGGGGTCTAACTGGGGTCTAACTGGTCCTACCGGGGTCTAACTGGTCCTACTGGGGTCTAACTGGGGTCTACCTGGTCGTACTGGGGTCTAACTGGGGTATACCTGGTCCTACTGGGATCTAACTGGTCCTACTGGGGTCTAACTGGTCCTGCTGGTCCCCAGGCTGGAAGGGGAACCTGACGGAGGGCCTGCTGGCCTCGGGCCTGGCCCTGCTGGTCCTGGTCCCGGGCGGGGTCCTGGTGGTCTACCTGCTGGTCCTGCAGACCTTCGTCCTGAGGCTGGAGCTGGTCCTGGCTGCTGGTCTGCTGGTCTTCCAGGGCCTGGAGCTGCTGCTGGGCCTGCTCTGCCTGTCTTCCTTCTCCAGGTGGGTCTGGGTCTGGGTCTGGGTCTGGTCTGGGTCTGGACCCCCCCCATAGAGGTCCCTACAGGTCTCCCCCCCCCCCCCTTTAACGCTGGTTTGTTCTTCTTCTCTGCAGGGCCAAAGTCTACTGAGAAAGGAGGAGGGTCTGATGTGTTCTGGATCTGGATCAGGATTTGGATCTGGATCAGGGCTGGTTCTGGATCAGAATCGGGATCAGGGTTGGATATGGATCAGGACTGAATCTGGATGTGGGCTGGATCTGGATCTGGGCTGCATCTGGATCTGGATCAGGATCTGGGTTGGATCTGGATCAGGACTGTTTCTGGATCAGGATCAGGGTTGGATCTGAATCTGGAGCTGAATCTAGATCTGGAGCTGGTCCTGGATCAGGACTGGTTCTGGATGTGGCTCAGGGCTGGAAATGGATCTGGAACAGGTCTGAATCAGGGCTGACTCTGGATCTGGGCTGGTTCTAGATCAGAATCAGGATCAGGATCTGGATCTGGATCTGGATCTAGGCTGAATCTGGATCTGGATCAGGGCTGAATCTGGTTTTGGATCTGGTTCTGGATCTGGATCTGGTTCTGGTTCTGGATCTGGTCTAGTGAACAGACGTCCAGCATGGTTTTTACTCCCACCATATGTAAACACCAGAGAAGAAGAACCAGAACAATAATAATTAGTAGAAGAAGAAGAAGAAGTTTCCATCAGAAACTTTAAGGTGGAACCAGAACAAAAAAGCCCAAATCCACCAGAACCACCAACTTTATCTGAACTTTACTCTTTATTTACCTCAGATTTCTATTTTTCTACCATCTTCTGTGTTTTTTATGATAGTAAAACGTTTCTGAGACAGAATACTTAATAAATCAGTCACAAAGAAAAAAAAAAGATGTTTTATTCATATCATAAATTATAACACAACTTTATAGTTATATTTTGTAACGTAAGTGTGAGATGGTTTTTTTGGAGATACTGAATGGAAGATACATTTTTTTGGTTCCATTAATTCCGCCCCTCCTTAAAAGAGCGAGTCCCGTCCGGAACTTTCTCTTTGGGGGAAACTTTCCCCCTTAATCCGTCTCTAATCTGGCACGGCTCATCTACCGGCGGGCGGGACGAGCACGCGCGCGCGCGCATTTGTTCTGGTTGTCAGCGCCGCGCTCTGATTGGAGGAGGGGGGGGGGGGGGGGGCATTAGACAGATGAGGGTATTTGCATGTTTCCACGATGGCTGCCTCGCGAGCTCCCAGCCGGAGCCTCATTACGGAGGCACGCGCACGCGCATGCGCGCTCCCGTGCGCTAATGAAGGCGTCCCGGTTTGTGGAGCGGCTCCTTACCGGGCTCCGGAGGTTTGAGGCCTCTTTCTGAGGCTTTAGGGGCAGAAACAGGGTCTGAAAACCAGCTGCAGGCTTCCTGATCTGTTTAGAGACAGAAATAAGTGAGAAAT